TGGTGACTCTACTCACTTGAGGGATCATTGAACTATTTCCCACAAGATAGGCCATTTATATTCCCACGCCAGCATAAGAGAGTAAGGATTCTTCCATGTCTTACCCACAACCTATTATTACCTGACTTTTTGATTCTAAGCCATCTTAGATGTGAAGTGCTATCAAGTTGTGGCTTGGGATTGCACTTCCCTAATGACTAATGATGTCAAGCATCTGTTCATGTGATATGGGCCATTTCTATATCATCCTTGGAGAAATGTCTGTTCAGATCCTTTTCCCATCTTTGATTGGGTTATTTGTCTTTCTCTTATGGAGTCGAAGTGTTCTTTATGAATTCTGGATCCAAGTCCCTTCCCAGATGTATAATTTACAAATATTTTCTCCCACTTTGTGGGTTGTCTTTTCATTTTCTTGATGGTGTGCTTTGAAACACAAAAGCTTTTAATGTTCATTAGTTCAAATTAGCTAGTTTTTTAATTTTGTCGTTTTACTTTGGTGTCATGTATATCTGAGAATCCATTGCTAAATGCAAGGTCATAAAGATTCCTTTTTTTTTTTCCCTAAGATTTTATCGCTTTAGCTCTTGAATTTTGGCATTTGGTTGCTTTTTTAGCTATTTTTCATATGGTGTTGGGTAAGAGTCCGAGTTTATCCATTCTCATATGGCCATCCAGTTAACCCGGCAACAGCTGTTTTAAAAGACTATTTTGGGGCTGGGGTTGGGGCTCAGTGGTGGAGCGCTTGGCCAGCACATGTGAGACCCTGGGTTCGATCCTCAGCACCACATAAAAATAAATAAATAAAGATATTGCGTCATCTACAACTAAAAATATTTTTTTAAATAAATAAATAAAATTGGGGCTGGGGTTGTGGCTCAGTGGTAGAGCACTCACCTAGCACATGCGAGGTTCTGGGTTCAATCCTCAGCACCACATAAAAATAAATAAATAAAATAAAGATATTCACAACTACAACTAAAAAATAAATATTTAAAAAATTTTAAAAATAAATAAATAGATAGATAGAAAATAAAAGACGCTTCTTTCCCTCACAGGAGGGTCTTAGAGTGCTTTTTGAAAGGCAATTGACTTAGACATAGGATTTCATTTCTAGACTGTCAGTTCTATCCTTCTGGACTGCATTTACACATGTGCCAGGAACTCCTAAACTTGATCACCATGACTTTTTAGAAGTGTTAGAAATCCGTCAGTCTTCCTACTGTGTTCCAGAAGAGTTTTGACTGTTCTAGCGTCCTCGAATTCCTGGGGAATTCTAGAATCAGCTGTTGATTTCTATAGAGACCAACTGGGGTTCTGACGAAAACTGCAGGATAGCACTTCTGCTGGCTTTTGGTTTACTTTGCTCTGCTTTTCCAGTGTCTTGAGATGGAACATTAGATTATCAGTGTGAAATCTTTCTTCCCTCTTAATCTAGGAACTCAGCATACATTCCCTTCAGCACTGCCTTCTCTGTGAATCACAAGTGTTGTTATGGTGCATCTTCACTCCATTCACCTCTGACTTATTGTCTGAGGTTTTATTGTTGTGGGTGTTTTTTTTTTTTTAATTTTTTTTTTTTTTAGTTGTAGATGGACACATATGAGAATGTTTCCTGTCTTTTTTGGTCCTCTATTATTCCTTTACTGCTTTCTCTATAATTAAGAGAATATTTATTTGCATGTGGTGCTGAGGACTTGTACCCAGAATACATAAAGAACACTTTAGCTCCATAAGTGCCTCACACGTGCAAGGCAAGGGCTCCACTCCCGAGCCCCCAGCCCCAGCCCCTGTTGTGGGTCTTTTTTGTTTGTTTTCTTGTCATTTGATTTTGCAGTGCTGGGGACCAGGGGTGCTCCACCACTGAGCTACATCCCAGAATTTTTTATATTTTATTTAATGTTAGCTGTAGATGGACACAATTATTTGACTTATTTACTTTTATGTGGTGCTGAGGATTGAACCCATTCCCTCAAAAATTCTAGGCAAGTGCTCTATCACTGAGCCCCTCACCAGAGCCCTTTTTATTTTTCATTTTGAGACAGGGTTTCACAAAGTGGCTGAGCCTGGGATATCTTTCCCCACCCTCTTTTTATTTTTTATTTTTTTGGTACTGGGAATTGAAACCAGGGGCTCTTAACAACTGAGCTACATCTCCAGTCCCCCTTTTAAACTTTTGTTTAGAAACGATCTCACTAAGTGGCTGAGGCTAGCTTTGAATTGGCGATCCTCCTGCCTCAGCCTCCTGAGCCACTGGTACTACAGGAATACCCCACCGTGTCTACCCTTAACATTAGAGGTAGAATATGTATAAGAATAAAGCCAAAAGGGGTAGGGGTGTAGTGAATACATAAAAATGACATTTCTGTATCTCATTGGAATTGTTAGTATAAATATGAAATTGAGTCTGATTAGTTAGGAGGTGTATAGGAAGCACTAAGGAAAAAAACATTTAAAACCGCTCCAACGTCTGTGTGCGCACATACGTGTGCTAGGGTCTTGTACATACTGATCAAAAACTCTACCACCAAACTGTACCCATAGCTCCACAACTGTTTTGTTGTTTTTGTTGTTGTTGTTGTTTGGGGACCAGGGATTGAACTCAGGGGCACTTGGCCATTGAGCCACATCCCATTCAAGGACATTTGTGTCCTTGAATCTAAAATGGTATCTCTGTAGACAGTACCTAGTTGTATCTCATTTTTTTATTCATTTTTATTTGTTTTGACGCAGTTGGTCAATCCGTTCATGTTTAATGCTCTTTTGATACAGCTGGATTCACGTGGCCATCTTACTAGTGGTTTCCTGTCTCATGTCTTTTTTGGTCTTCTATTGTTCCTTTACTGCTTTCTCTAGTATTAAGTGAATATTTTGTAATGAAGCATTTAAATTCTTTGATTTTTTTTCCCACTATTTCGAGGGTTTTTAAATGTTTCTTTCTTGGGGCTTCCTGTACAGATCTTATCTAATCAGACTCAATTTCATATTTGTACTAACAATTCCAATGAGATTCAGAAATGTTGCTTTTATATATTCACTACACCCCTACCTCTTTTGGCTTTATTCTTATACATATACCTCTTAAAGTTACAAATGAAATAATACATTGCTATAACTGTTATTTTATCATCTGTAGTCATTGATGTAGCTCAATAAACTTTGCTTGCAACCACCTATGTGCTTCATTGGCAAATATATTACATTTCTGGATATTTCAGGCCCACTTTTGTACACATTATTTTACACGTTTGCTTTTTTCTTTTCCTTCTTTTTTTTGTGTGTGTGTGCGCATGCTGTGGGTTTGACTGGGCTTTGTATATGCTTGTCAAAAACTACCACCAAACTGTATCCATAGCTCCACAGCTGTTTTTTGTTTTGTTTTTGTTGTACCAAGGATTGAACCCAGACGCACTTGACCACTGAGCCCCGTCTCCAGCCCTATTTTGTATTTTACTTAGAGACAGGGTCTCACTGAGTTGCTTAGCGCCTCATTTTTGCTGAGGCCGCCTTTGAACACTCTTGATCCTCCTGCCTCAGCCTCCTGAGCTGCTGGGATCCACAACTGCATTTTTTTTTTTAATATACTTTATTTTTTTCCTATATCTTATTTTTTTTTAATGTGGTGCTGAAGACTGAACCCACTGCCTCACATGTGCGAGGCAGGCGCTCTACCACTGAGCTACAGCTCCAGCCCCCACAACTGCTTTTTAAAGAAGTTAGGAGAGGAACACTAGGCATGATGATGCATGCCAGGATTCCTCATGACTTGGGAGGCTGAGGCAGGAGAATGGCAAGTTCAAGCCAGTCTCAGAAACTTAGACCTCTCTCAAATCAAAAATAAAAGCCAGGTGTGGTGGCCCACTCCTGTCATCCCAGTGATTTGGGAGGCTGAAGTAGGAGGATCCCAAATTGAAAGCCAGCTTCAGCAACTAAGTGAGTCCCTAAGCAACTTAGCAAGATCCTGTTTCAAAATAAAACATAAAAACAGCCGAGGATGTGGCTCTGTGCTTAAGTGTCCCTGGGATCAATCCCTGGTACCAAAAAATAAAATAAAAATTAAGAAGGGCTAAGGGTGTATCTTAGTAGTAGAGTGTCCCTGGTTCAATCCCTAATACGGGGCGGGAGGGGGGGGGCAATAAATAAAATATAAAAAGAAAAAAAAAAACATGTCTTTATACTATCTTTTATAATTGTGTCACTTTCTAGGGCTCTCTTTTGTGTCTTTCAAGATTCCCTCTTTGTCTTTGACTTTCAGCATTTTTACTATGATGTGTCTTTTAATCTTTGAGTTTATGTTTATTCTCCTTGGAGTCCACTAGCTTTCTGGATACGCAGGTGCTGTTTTTCTATAAAATTTGAAGTTTCTGGCCATCATTTCTTTCAATATTTTGTCTTCTCTCTTTTTGATCCCTCTGGTACATGTAAATTGGTGTCCTTCATGGAGTCCCATATTTCTGTGAGGCTCTGTTCAACATGGAATGCTGGACCTTCCACTTACAAACCGGGGGACCTTGGTAACTGCCTTAGCTGCTGTGCCTTGGTTTTCCCAACTGCTAAATGGGATGATGACCACGCTAACTCATAGGGTTGCTGTGAGTTTTTCGTAAGTGGATGAAGGCCATCTGTGACAGTTCTAGGTCAGGGTCTGATATTTGCCACCAGGGTGCTCCTCCCAGTTCTCTTTCTCTGGTTGTCTCCTGCAGAAAACTGTATCTTGAATCTCCTCTGTTAGGTGCAGGACAGGCTGAGTAAGCTGTCTGCAGGGCATGCCAAACAAAGTTAGCTGCAGAGTGACCTGGTCACTCAAACCCTCTGTCTGGCTCTTTATCACCTGTTTGCTTCAAGCCAAACGCCCAAGCCCCCGCTCAAGGCTGAACGCTTCGCCCCCCTGCTCAAGGCTGAACACTCAACCCCCTGCTCAAGGCCGAACACGTAACCCACCCCCCTTGTGTCAACAAGGCAGCTTGCAGACCCAGAGACCTCATTAGATTTGGGCTATAAAAACTCCCTCCTGCCGGGCCCCTCTCTCTCTTGCTTTCTCTATGTCTCTTGCTCTCTCTTGCTTTCTCTGTCTCTCTCTTGCGCGCGCTTCCTCTCTCTCTCTCTCTCTTTCTCTTTCTCTCTCTTCTCCTCGGTTGCACTGCTGCAACAAAGATCTCTTGGTTGCTCTGAGTGTTGTGGTCACTTTCCTTTCATTGGTGCTGAAACCCGCGAGAGGGTTAAAACCCACTTTTGGGTCCCTCTTCCTTCGGAAATGCCACTCACCGGACGACCTGAACCCATTTTCTCGATCGCCAGAACTCCATCCACCACCAGCCTTAGTGAGTTTCCCCTTCCTGGAGAGGATTTGACCGTTGATTGTCCGGCAAACCTCTTTGCCCACCTGCGGGGAGGAAAACACCCCACCACAGCCTTCAAGGCTATGGTGGCCCTCAGGGACTCCTTCCTAGGGCAGATTAGACTCCTGGATTCAAAATTATTCCCTTCCCTTCCCAGCTGGTAGTTTACCAGCATAGGCTTTGTAGGTCTCCCTCAAAGGACTGTGTAACCTCCAGGGACACGTAACAGACAACCGAACATCACATCCCACCCAGACCTTCACCATCTCTGTGGCTCTCCTAAAGTCCTAGTCCTCACCTTCAAGACTCGGCTGCTAGAGAGAACCTTACCCTCCCCTTCCTCTCTCTTCCCCTGTCTCTCTCTTTCCCCTCTTTCCGGCCCAGGGAGTCTCCGGCCTCTCCAGGAGGGGTCCCGAAAAGCCTTGGCCAAGGTCTCCCACAGCTCCGGCTCTGTCCAGGATGAGAGCTTCGACTGTCAGGATTCGGTGACGACCAATCTCTGCAGCTCGAACCTGCCACTAAGGCACTCCTGATTTTTGGCTCTAGCGGGGACGCCCCTTTTGCCAATAAATCAGTTTCCTCCTTCTCTCTTATACTACGGTTGCGTCTCCTTCCTTCTCCTCTATACTGTTTGCATCCCCTTCCCTCCTCCTTATACTACGTTTGTGACATGGGTAATGTGTCCTCTCTGCCGGTCGACTCTCCCCTACAATACCTCTTGGATAATCTCAAAACCCTCTCCTTGACATCTGACATCAAACCCAAAAAATTGATCAAATATAGCACCCAAGCCCACTTATCCTTTAGACAACTAAAGAAGACGTGTTATCAATAAGATTAATATAAAGTTCAATAAAGTGGGTACAATTTAAATGTAATATATTATGTTAGCTAGTATTCATGTGACCTCAAACAACAATATATGTAAACTTTATAAAATAATATTTTTTAAAAAGGATCAGCTTCAATACTAGAACACTTTGCCTTAGATTTATAAAGAGCCCTGGCTTACCTGAGATAAGGCTGTGCCTCCCATCTTACTACATGTCAGAATGACTCCAAAGTAGGCCAGACTTCAGCTAAAGCCCAATACTCTTAATTTAAGGTGAAACTGACTTTGCTGGATGTTTAAGATCAAGACTTAAACTTAAATTAAAAAGGCCAAGAAAACCAATATTTGGCTCTGGCCCTCTGAGTCAGTCTGAATCCAGGGAACAGGGAATTTCTCTAAAGAGCTTTGCAACTCTGGGCCACATAACCTCCTGATCAGGGAGATTAATGAGACCACTAGAGAATGAAAAGCCAATCCGTGCATTTGCTATGAAGAGGAGGGTCACCGGAGAAGGGAGACATCCCTGATGCTTCCAAGGGAAGCCACATGGTCAAGCAAGACCTGGACCCATCCTAGCGCAGATGGCACTAGCAGAACTAAGAGAAGCTGCTCTCAAGTTCCCCCACGAGTGACCCCTATGGGAACTTGGCTGACTCTTAACAATAGATAGAAACAAAGTCAATTTTGACCAACTTGATCTTAAACACCTACCAAAACCAGTTAAGCCAAAACCAGTCATTCCTGGGAGTAATGAAGGACAAGAACAGCTAGAAAAGAGGAGACAGCAACTAGGCCAACAGGCTCCATGGGGAATGTTCAGTCAAGTATGGCCTTGGCTTCTCCCCCTCATAGGACCCTTATTAGTCCTCTTTATGTTTCTCCTAATAGGACCATGTATGTTAAATTGCCTACAGAAGTTCCTGCAAGATCAGATACACAAATTCACCAACCAGTCAGTCAATCAATTACTTCTTTAACACTACCAGCCCCTGATGCCCAAGACAGAGACCTATGACTCATGATCAACTCCTCTGGCTCCAGAGACTCTGCCCCCACCTAAAACCCTCCCTAACCCCTTTTCCAGATTTTACAATCCCTCTTTCACTTCCTAGGAATGAGAACTACTCTCCTGCAGGTCCACTCTGATTGTTCTGTCTGCTCTACAATATCCCCACAAGGAAGCATCAAACCTAAACTCCCCAGGCATCAGATGAGGAGCCACTAGCCAGGCAAAGGCTGGTAGATCAACTTCACTCATATGCCTAGGCACAAAAAGTTTCACTACCTACTTACTTTGGTTGATACTTTTTCAGGTTGGATAGATGACTTCCCTACATCCAGGGAAATTGCTGACACCATTGCCTCCATCCTCATTGAGGGGATCATTCCCAGGTTCGAACTTCCCACCTCCATCCAGTGAGACAGTGGTCCAGCTCTCACTTCTCAGGTTGTTCAACTAGTCTCCAAAGGCCTCAACATCACCTGGAGTCTCCACATCTCCCACTAACCCCAATCCTTGGGTAAGGTTGAGAGGCCTAACGGCATTCTCAAAGATCATTTCACTAAACTTGCTATTGAACTTAGGCTCTCCTGACCCAATCTCCTGCCGTTGGCCCTCACCTGATTTTAGGTAGCCCCAAGAGCTCCCTCAGGCCTTAGCCCCTTTGATTAATTCTATGAGTACCCTTTCTTAACCACCCAAAGCTTTCCAATCACTCCTCTTCCCCTTGTGTCCTACCTGTCCTATCTCACACTTCTATGCAAACTCCTAAGGGAACACACAGACGGGTGCCTTCCTGCACCTTGCCTCAATCCCAGCACAACCACAAACTGAATTGGACCCTCTTCAACTCGGTGACTCAGTCTTAATTCAGGAACTACATTCTCAATCGTTGGAACCCTGATGGACGGGACCCCATACAGTCATACTTACTACCCCAATGGTAACCAAGCATTTAGACACTCTCTCTGGTACTTAAAAAGGCACCTGTTCCAAATGTCCAGTCCTGGACTTCCACCACGCCCACCAAACTCAAAATTTCTCACCAACCCTCTTCTTCTTTTACTAATCATTATTCTCTCTCAAGTTTTTATCTCAAACCACAGATGCCACTTCTACAACCAAACCACCAGGATGACACCACCCACTCTCAGTTTATGGGTCAAGGCGATTGCTCTTCCACTGGCTGAAATCGGGCTGTCACCCTTAACATTACTGGATTCAACCAAGCCACCTCTGATACTTCCTAGAGTCCCTACAACAGGACCAATGGCTGATACCAAGAATCTCCTCCATCTAGGACTGGTTTGATGCCATCAACGACTTGTGGCTTCAAGGAACTTTTATGGACTTTACCCCTACCAAAGTAGTTATTATAGCCACTGAGTGTTATTTCTGGCTGCCCTGATGTTCTCAGACCTGTCCCCGGAACATTCCTCCACTTCCCCTTCTAGGCCCAACACCACCCACCATTAAGCAGGAAGTAGCCAGAGGACTTTACGCTGTCCCCCATGTCACTTAGAAAAACAAAAAGGGAGGAATGTTAGGTGCAGGACAGGCTGAGTAAGCTGTCTGCAGGGCATGCCAAACAAAGTTAGCTGCAGGGTGACCTGGCCACTCAAACTCTCTGTCTGGCTCTTTATCACCTGTTTGCTTCAAGCCCAAACGCCCAAGCCCCGGCTCAAGGCTGAACGCTTCGCCCCCCCTGCTCAAGGCTGAACACTCAACCCCCTGCTCAAGGCCGAACACATAACCCCCCTTGTGCCAACAAGGCAGCTTGCAGACCCAGAGACCTCATTAGATTTGGGCTATAAAAACTCCCTCCTGCCGGGCCCCTCTCTCTCTTGCTTTCTCTATCTCTCTTGCTCTCTCTTGCTTTCTCTGTCTCTCTCTTGCGCGTGCTTCCTCTCTCTCTCTCTCTTTCTCTTTCTCTCTCTTCTCCTCTGTTGCACTGCTGCAATAAAGATCTCTTGGTGGCTCTGAGTGTTGTGGTCACTTTCCTTTCATCCTCCAAGTTCCTTTCACCACATTCTCCTCTCTTCTTGAGAGTGTCTTTGAGTAGAACTTCTCAGAGCTCTATTACCAATGAAGTCAGCTCCTTCGGGAAGAGGCAAGAAGCTGTGTTTTAGCCTAATTCTCCTCCTGGGTCACTGCTCTGGATCTGGCATGCTGTAGGAGAGGAGGGCTGAGCCGGGCGGGGCAGTAGCCTGAGGTGGTTTCCTCTTGCCTGCCCTTTGCCTCTTGGTGTGCAGCCAGCCAGCACCACGGGAGCAAGGGAGCAAGGGCAGGGACAAACAGAGCCCCAGTGTGCTCAGGAGCACCTGGCCCCAGGCAGAACCTGTGTTCCAAGAACGTGTTCCTGGGCAGAGGTTTCTTGGTTCTTATCTTCACCAAAGAAAGACTGTGGTCGAGAGAGAGAGAGAGAGAGAGAGAGAGAGAGAGAGAGAGAGAGAGAGAAATTTTAAAATATTTATTTCTTAGTTTTTTCGGCGGACACAACATCTTTGTATGTGGTGTTGAGGATCGAACCCGGGCCGCATGCATGCCAGGCGAGCGTGCTACCGCTTGAGCCACATCCCCAGCCCCACAACACATTTACTTAACAGAACAATCTTACACTTCAGAGAAGATATGAGACAGCCTCATATCTTCCACACTGTGGGCCCTATGGGGCTTTGAGGCCTGCTTGGGATCCTACCATCCTTTAAATAAAATAATAATATTAAAGTAATAAAAATAATAATATTCATTTGGGACAGTTATGTTTGTTTCCCACCTAAGTTTAGTGCCCCTTTGCCAATTTCACCATGTTGGAACTTTCCCCAGCGTCTAAGCAAAACCCAAAACCATGGGGGTGGGGGGTCAAATAACGATGCAAATGATATTATGATCTGGGGTCCAGGGAGGAAGCACTGGTATTCTGAGCATTCTCTGGTTGCTCAGGGATAACTATGTCCATTCCCCAGATTGACAGGGACCTGTTTGACCACACGAAGGTGGTCCCTAGGTGGGCAATTAGGTGCCCCCTAGGGTGGGGCCTGAGTCTCCATTGCCCACCTTCTTTGCTCACGGCTGTCTGGCTATCTTCTCTGATGGACCTGGGTGGAAAGGAGCCTCCACCTCCCAACTGCACTGTCTGCAGCTTAGTTTCAGCAACAGGTGAACAAAAGCAGGAGAGAAATGCCAACCACGCTCCCGGGAAGAAACTCCTCTGAGTGGGAGTTGGGGAAAGGGAGCCCCGTGTTCTTGGCTTCAGACAAGAAGGGTACTTCTGTCCTGCATGGCAGAGAGGAGAAAAAGCAGGGAAAGGTCTTGATCGAATTATCCCAGGTATTTATGGATTACTGTTTATTTATTTTTTTGTCGTAGATAGACATAATGGCTTTATTTTATCTATTTATTTTTATGTGGTGTTGAGGATCGAACCCAGGGCCTCACATGTGCTAGGCAAGTGCTCTACCACTGAGTCGCAACCCAGCTCCAAATTTATGTTGTTTTTTTAAAACTAAGTTTTCACAGATTTTGTTAAATAGACATTCCCCTATTGGATGTCTGTCCTTATAACAATTTCCAGAGACTTCAAATAATGGGTTTTTACTTTTGTTTTTACAATTTTACTAGTTTCAATAGTACATGGAGGGCCTCACACTGTCATGCCAGAAATCAGTGTCTCTGCCAAAGTATTTTAGTGCCTGTATTAGGTTGCTATTGCTGCTATAACAAATTATCACAAACCGAATGTGGTAAGTGATGAACCCAGACTAATGCCATCTTAAATTTGGGAGCCATCTCATCACAAAGTCAAGAAAAGTTAATTTCTGTTTTACTATAAATTACTGCGATTTATAAACTTGTTTGAAATTCCTGCCTATGCCTTGAACTCACCCATGCCTGGCTCCCCCTGACCAGATAACAACCCTCTCTGAAACCTCAGTAGTGCCTCATAAATTCTGATGCTGGGATCTAAATTTATTCCCTACCTTGAAATGTTAAACCATGTAGATCATTAACCTACTATCTGCCTTTGTATTATGTTAGTCAAAATCCTGTTAGCTGTAAGTTCTCAAGACACCCCCTTTTGCAACTTTTTGTGCTATAAAACTGCTCCAAGAGACCTGGGGTACTGTTCTCTAGCCCAGGGTTTTGGGGAGAGACAGTCCTGGCCAGTTCCAGTTTATACAAATACAAGCTTGCTTTAATTTTATTTAAAACTGGAATTGGTGGTCTTTGTGTCGGGGTTTAACATCTGGAGGCCCCAGTGAGATCAGATCACCGGAGCTCTTCAGTGAAAACCTTCGCTCTGGGACTCCGGGGCTGGAGTGCCGCCCCAGGGGGTGCACAACTTGCAATGTTCCAAGGCCCTGGGATGTGCCTTCAGTTCATCAGATTGCTGGAGTGAACTGCTGCACTAAAAAAATTAGCAAGTATTCAGGGGAGGAGACCTCCATAGGAAAGTGGCTCCCTTATAGCATCTGGTATTGGGTTAAGAGAGATCTCTTCTAGAGACAGTGAGGTGCCTGGCGAGGCACATACTCACTCCTGTCCTCTGGTATTGGTTGGTAAGGAATTCCTTCTGGTGGGGACAGTGAGGTGGCTGGTGAGACACAATGTGCTCCTGTCCAGGACAGTAGTGAAATGTTGCACTGTCCTTTGGTATTGGTTTGGTAGGGACAGAGAGGTGCCTGATGAGGCACACACACACTCCTATCTGGAATTAGCAAGATATTGCACTTCTCCCTGGGTTTTGGCACCTGGTTCTTGTTCTCCTTATGTTTTATGTTTTTTTTTATCTTTTTTCTGCCTTTTCTAGTAGAAACTTAAGACAGTTGAACAACAAAATGGGTAATAAGTAAGCCTAATACTTCTTTGAGCTGTGTTTTGAGGAACTTTGACAAACTTTACTCCCCTTTGTTAAGCAGGATTGGGGAAGCAGTGTTTTCTTTTCTTCCCTAGTTGGCTGCCTTGAGCACACCCACTGCAGGAGGGAGATGCCTGCTGGGGATCTGGGAAATGAATAGCTCCCAAGTTAACAAGTGAATCCTAACCTGCCATCAGGGCACCCTGGGAACCCCTACCGAAATGTAACTCTTAACAAAATTTCTTTAAAACCCCTTGTCCCTCCAGATCAAGAGAGTCACAGCCTTTGGGACAGGAGTCCCCTGTTTCTCCTTTGTTAGCAAAGCAATGAATTTTCTTTTTCCTTTTTCTCAAAATCCTTCCCTCATTATTAAATTGTCATTAATTGACTTTGCGGACAGAAACCGAACTTTCAGTTACAAATTTTGACACCCCAGGTGGGACTCCAGAGCAGCCCCCGTTCTGCTTTCTTGGGGAAACCTGGCACTCCAGCAACTGCAGGCGAAGGATGTAAGATGAACTTTTGAGAGCTGACTACTGGAGAGTTAGGAGACAGACAAGAGTGCCTGGGGTCTGATGGAACCAGAGGAGCTAATCCTGTAAGTAAAGGGAGGGACTGAGGGACTCCCAGCAGCTGCCGAAGCCCCTTTTGCTTCGGGGAACTCCTGCCTTCCTTCTCTGCACTGTAAGGATCGCTCCATCTCTTTTTACCTTAAAAAACAAAACAAAAAAAAAAAAAAGGGAAACTGAATGCAGTAAAGTCACTACACGGAGACCCTTGATTTTACACTTTGTAAGACTGGAAGATGCCGCACCACATGACACAGATCACCAAAGAGTTTTCCACTTTATTACAAAAGGCTGTGTGTTTATATAGGTCTAAGGAGAGGTCGCAGGGCTGAGGTAGATAACAGGTTGCCCGTTTATTGGCAAGCTCTTCCATATGTCAGTTCCGGAGCCCAAGAAGTTAATTCTAATTGGGGCTAAGGCTTCCCACCAGCAGGGTTTGAACGTTGGCACCCGCGGGAACGTTTCGCACCAGTGAAAGAAACAAAGAGGAGAAAGGGGGTCGTTAGACGTCATGCTGGGGTTTTTCTCTGGGGTGCTTATGTTTTCCCAACATTCCTCCCTTTTTGTTTTCTTAGGAATTGGGGCGTTGTTAGTCAGATCTGGCTGCTTCTGGCTGTGCGGGGACGGCAGGGCCTAGAAGGGGAAGTGGAGGAATGTTGGGGGGGGGGGCAGGTCTGGGGATATCATGGCAACCAGAAATAAAACCCAGTGGCTATAGACAGCTACTTCCATAGGGGTGAAGTCTATGAAAGTTCCCTGAAACCAGAAGTCATCGATGGCGTCGAACCAGTCCTGGATGGAGGAGATTGTTAGTATCAGCCACTGGTCCTGTAACAGAGACTCTAGGAAACATTGGAACCGTTGCCTTGACATGGCATCACCAGCACCTGAAGAAGATCAGAGCAAACAAAAGCAGGATGAAGATAAAAATTAAACCAAATGTCAGTTTGGGGCAGAAGTTCCATGTCGGGGGACTGACAGAGAAAAGGCCAAGGGCCATGAGGAGGCTTAAAAGGACATAAAGGCTCAAGAATCCAGGATGGCAGATTAAGAGGTTCTCTGGGCTCATTGTCTCCCACTGTCCAATGTCCGTTGCATTCCATCGCGCCTGGTAGTGAGCTTCAGCAATGAGTGAGCTGTTCTCTTGAAGATGTTGGGGGCTCATTGGTCATCAGAGGCTGGTAGTACCTAAGCAGAGGCTGGTTGAAAATTTGGTTAGAGATCTTCTGTAATTGGCCCTGTAGGAAGCGAAGCAAACAGGGCAGGAACAGACACATCAGGAAAAGAAGACATATGGGCCCTAAAAGAGGCAACAGCCACGATTGGAAGTGGGCTAAAAAGAAGGTGGCAAATGGGTTTTGGTTTGGTGGATTTTTCAAAGAGGTAGCCAAGTCGGTGAGCTTGACTACATTAGTTTCCACAAGGCCCGATTCGTTGATGTAGTAACAGCATTCTTCCCTCAAGAAAAGACAGGTTCCACCTTTTTCGGCTGTGAGTAGGTCTATAGCTCGTCGATTTTGAAGAGTAACTTGAGCCAAGGATGTGACCTGCCTTTG